AAGGTCCGGAGATAGGGATTAGCTCTATCTAGTGGGCCCAACTGTGTAGGAACCTGAAGACGGAGATAGAGTCCCATCTCCGAAACGTCGTTTTACGTTTTATATTTACTAGACGATGGAAGGTCCGGAGATAGGGATTAGCTCTATCTAGTGGGCCCAACTGAGTAGGAACCTGAAGACGGAGATAGAGTCCCATCTCCGAAACGTCGTTTTTCGATTTATATTTACTAGACGATGGATAATATCAAAGAAAAATTTTATTCAATTGACTCTTCACCATCGTCAAGAAGTTTTAGATTTAAATTTAGTAATGTTCTACACAACTTTTTGAGTTCCATTCAATTCTGCTAAGGCGTTCGTTTTTACCAGTTTTTTTCATATTTATTTATTTTTTTTTGGAAAAACTTCATTGTTTTTACGTCACTAACATCAATTTACTTTGCTAAATACTTCAAATTAGTTAGGTTAAGGTAGGTCTATTTATAACTGATAAACCAAAAAATCGTGGTAGTGTGGTTAGCATTCCTACTGCGTATTTACGAGACCCCCTGGTTCAAATCCAGGCCCAGAGATTGGTTACACTGTGGATTTCCCCAGTGCTTCCAAATGCCAGAACATCAGGAGATACTCAACATCCCGACCGAGATTCAAACCGAATAACATCCAAATACAATTAAAATGTTGGGTGTTCAGGTTTTCAAAGCAGCGAGTAGGAAGATAGATATTGCGTTTTATTTTACAAATCGAAGGCTTGTGGCAACCCTGCGTCGAGCAAGTCTATCGGCGTCATTTTTCCAACAGCACGTGCTCACTTCGTGTCTCTGCGTCACATTTCGGTGATTCTCGCATTAAGACTTAATAGACTACAGTATAGCGTAAACATAACTTTTATATGCACTGGGAAACCAAAATAATTCATATGACTCGCTTTATTGCGGTGGTCTGGAACCGACCCCGCAATACATCCGAGGTATTCCAGTATTTATACTGTCAAGGGCATTCATTCCCACCGCTCCATGTTTGCACCTGCAACCCCTTTGCTTTAGACAACATCCAGAGTTAATAAAACAGCTGTTTCATCTAATGACGACATCCAAACTAAGTCATGTTTATGTGTGGAGTAATAAGGATAACACCCATGGCCGACCGAACGATGCATGTGGTCCATGGGGGGGGGGGAAACTTCAATTAATCGTGCTTTATTATTCCTTGGGGGTTACTAGATGGAGTTTATGTGTTCTACAACAGCATATTAAATATGAAGTTACGTTAAATATCTCAAACTTGGGTTCTTGTAAATAGAAGTTACGAAGAAAGCCAATTTAGCACAGCGGTCTCAGTACTGCTTCAAGCCTTCAAACACGTTAGTAAACTCTACGTTTCGCAAAGTAAAATCACTTTAGTTTAAATTAAGGCCAAGTTTTGTCTGCAGAATTAATAGAGAAAGGCCCACATGTTAAGTCATTACGCAAGCGCGGGAAATTATGATCGTACACATAACAGTCTTTGAAATGGTAGGAGCCGAAGCTATGACTGTCATGAATTTTAATTATCTTAGTAAATGAGGCCGAGGGGTCTCGGCGTCACCTGGATTCGGCAAAGTGTTTCAAACATCTGCCCCCTACGATTATTTCGATCAAGAAGTTTGCAGTAGACACACAATGAAAAGGGAATTAAAATGAACTGCAATTTCAAGAACGCGTAATTTACAGTGGCTTTATTTTATTCATTTATTAGTTAAAAATCTAATACATGAAGCTGAAACTTAAGGTTCTCACGGCGGCGAGTAAGAAGATGACTTTCTTCTCTGATGTTTCGCCGTGTAGTCTGGTGGAAGATTACCGACGTTTCAGAGGTGCTTGTGGGATCCGGAGGGTAAATACAGTGACTTCATTTTTACAAATTCGGTAAAGAAACTTAAAAGTTTAACATTTTAAATTGAATATAAGTTAATGCCTTTTGCAGCCAATATAAATTATAAATTATTAGAATATCATTATTCTGCATCGAATCTTCTGGCTTGATTTCATAAATAAAATAGATACTAGTTAAAAAAAATAGTTTTGCATTCTTTTTACTATATAATGAACATTTTTCTTAAGGAGAACGTAAATTATATTAAATGTCTGACGAAGAATCTCATCTATATGGCACTTAAGAACTCAGCAATTATGCGGTACACATAATAACCACTGTAAATGGCGAATTCTCGAACACGTTCTTCCTGATAACGTACGTCAAGTTTCGTGAGGTCTCTGGTTCGACTTTCGGGTCAGACTAACTATAATGAATTCTTATTGGGCTGCCAGCCGTGTCAGTCGATTAAATGGAGAAATCTCAGTACCCTGAGGACGAGGACGAAGATTAAGACATTTCGCAAATCGCGGTTTTACCATTCGCAAAGGGGTGGGGGGGGGTTCAAGACGTCACCCCCGCGAAATGCAAATGTGTGCTGTAATTTAACACAAAACTCAAAATTTAACCTAAATTTCCACATAACGTGCAATTCTTTTGCAGAAAAGAACAAAAATATGGTGGCGTCAAAAATTAAAAATGATGTCAACGCACATCTTAACTGATTTATCAAAGTGTCTCTCCTTGATACGTCACTGGTTATGTTACTACTTACCAGAACAGGGTGGAGGTCCACGCCATACATCTCAAGCCATTTCACCTTGTCTAAGTAGCTGAGCTCTGCCACCGCGGGTAATTGGCCTCTGAAACACATAACAACGACCATTACCTCTGCAAAGATCTCCAGCCCACGGCAGCTCCCACTCAGGGCTCTTGACCCTGAGTTATGGCCGGATTACAGATCTCAGGTTTCACAGGACACAAGGCCATCCACCCCCACTCACCGCCACTTTATTAGAGCAATGAATCGCGAAGGTCCCTTTTGGTTTTGTAAAAAGGCGAAATTCTGACGGTCCACTCATCAACCGCCCATCACTACATGACCTCGTGACAATACAGACTACACCCTGAATAGCCTTCCAGGGTCACGGGGGCCAGAGATGACAAACAGCCAGCATTATCGCAACCACATTTAACAAGTACTGCCAAGAACATAGACTTTACATTATAAATGATTCTGTCTAGACGGTGTAGCTGGAGGAAAGTATAAATTAAATAAAAAGTTCGTAGTCGGGCACAATTCGAAGTTCTGCACCCAAAAAAAAAAAAATCGCGAGTACAATTGCAATCGGGGTGTAATTTCATCAGAATTTAAACAGCTTTCGTAAAATCATCACAGAGTTTATTGATTAAACGAGAATTTATATAAACTAACGGCAGAAATACTACTACCAAATGCAAGTATTGTGGAACGCAGTCCCTGAATCAGCAGTCACGTTTCGGTTACAATTCATTTTACATTTACATCTTTACATGGAAACAGCAAGTCCTTCATATACAATCTCAAGTGCGTGATTTACAAAATACCACATTTCACCACTCACGCTTCTGGGCTTTGTATATTGTTATTATTATAAAATCATAAGATAAATAACGACTTCGCGCAGGAGCCATGTTGTTATTTTCATGTTTCTAAATTCTATTAAAGCCTCATACGAGTTTTAATAAACCCGACTGCAATTTCTGTGCGGTCAAAGGCGAGCACTGTTCTAGGGGCTCAAATACAGGGGTCACGGTTCGAATACTGTTGAGTGTATCGCTGATATTTTCGTTTTATCTCCCGTGTAATGGCAGAGAGACCTGATGAATCCCAGTTCAAAAGAGCCTAACCGCTTGAATATACAACAAGAGAAGCCCGGAAAGTTTTGTGGCGTTGAACCACTACGCTTGTATTCGTAAATTACGTCGTTTGGATATGTCCGTGTGTTTCCTCAGTCTCCCTAAACAAATACCAACATAGTATCTTGAAAGAGGTTACAAACCCCTCATTCCAAATCAAACTCACCATTCATTAGACTATCATTGTCTCATCTTATTCGTTAAAATGTAATTTTTGAATTTTAAACAGTACAGTTAAATAATCTAAGAAACGATTAATTACAAAGAGAGGACGGACAGAAGAATGAGCTTACAACCATGACAGAAAAGATTAATCCTCTTAAGCTGTAGTTCGACTAAATAATATAAAAGAATCTAGTCCGTACCGCGAAGTAAACACAAGTCTTCATCATTACAAAGATTAATTTATTAACGACGTTTAAGGAAATAATCGCTGTTTATAACAAAAATCATAAGACTCCTATAAATTAAACGAAATTGTTCAATAAGACCAGGAGCTCTGAGGTTCTGGTATCGTTTAGGGTTTCTGCAAAATTCTGAGATGTGGGAGCATTCATTGGCGTTTAGAAACGGAACATCCAAAGTACTGAACATTTATGTACGCAATAAAGATCGGTGTTATTGTAACAACGTGAAATGAATTAATCTTGTGTTTCTAAACAAACAACCCAGGGCGTATCGACGACTACGTTACAATATTAATTAAATAACTTTATTAAATTATTAGCAGACTGGACGCAGTGTTCTGAGGGGAAATTCGACAAATGCTTTTCACTTATTACCAATTTTTATTGTCCTAAATCTGATCATAGGCGTAACAGCGAATACCATGGACAAAATAATTATTTCCCCCAAATCCAACATCTTCAAAGACACTCTAACCCGGGGAATGTTTTCGGGTTTGTGACTTTAGTTCCTGCAATCTACTCCCCGAAACAAACAATTTTATTCATAAAACTTTATTAATTGAACACTGATAATCAATTGGGAGAAAAGTGAATTTGTGCAGTTTGGAATCTTTTGTGTTCCCGTCTGCAAATCTAGAAAAGTGAAGATTAAAATATATAATTTTACCTGTTCTTTTGCGGGAACTTAACTTTATCTTCGCCATCGTTAACTTCGGACTATTTAAATGTCGTCTAAAAACGTGGAGATGAGATAGCCAACAACCTCACCACGTACTAACATTTAAACGACATTATATATAATACGGAGATGTCTATTTCCATTATATTCGTAATGATGACATTATATTTACAAACATTAAATAACAAAGTAATTTAACTATTATTATTATTATATAGTATTATTTATTTTATTTAGAATTATTAAATTGAAATATATTACTTAGGTATTGTATTTAGCCCATTTATTTGTGAAATATGATTCAATAAATAAATCTAATTATTATTATTATGGTACATTTATATATTTTGTTTCATTTGTTTGTTTTACTTTTATTATTATTGAAATAAATTAATTACTTATTATATTTTATCCTGTACTCTGGTTTAGTGCTTGGCTGTTGTCAAGCACTTAAATAAATGAATTAAATTGAATTGAATTAATACAACGAGACGTCTCAAATGTCTTAAAAAAACATAATTCTATAGTACTAATGAACAGACACCCTAAAATAAGTGAAGGTCTCCATTTCGGTCCCAAGAAAATGGGTCTGGAAGTTAGCGATCAAGGCAATTAGTCGAGAACGTATCTTGTTAGAAACCAGCTGGACACAGGACAAATAATTCTGCATGTCTTCCACATCGTTCAATTTTAAATAGCAGTAAACATTTCGTGGTAAATCCTTGGCCAAAATCAACAATCATTTATAAACAAGATTTCTCTCGTCATAATAAAACGACTTCACACATTCAAAGTTACAAATTACCCAAACATATTAAACACATTTCTCTCGGTTTGTATACCCTTTAACGGCGCTGGATCAACTACTTATGCTAACGTCGAATGACCGGATTAATACGAGGTGCGATCGGAAGGTTTCCCACCGACCCTCCTGCGCTTTCGGAATGGCGTGTGCATCAAATTTTGCCAAAGACTCACCAAAACGGCTACGGAAATCTATGAAATGCTAAAGCAAGCATTTGGGGAGTGCGCAATGGGTCGTGCACAAACTTTTGTGTGGCATTCACGTTTTAAAAATGGCCGAACCTCTGTCGATGATGCCGAGCGTTCTGGACGACCATCTTCGAGCGCAACGCCCGAAAATGTTACGAAGATCGACGTCGTACCATCAACGACTTGTGCGACATTTTTGGGATAGGCTATGGGACCTGTCAGCTGATTCTAAAGGAAGAACTCCACATGCGACGCATCCTGTCTGAGGACCAGAAGCAGAATCGACTTCTCGTTTGTCAGGAGCTCAAAGATCTTGCAAGAACCGACCCCAGATGGTGCTTGACAGGCTGACAAAGAAATATTTCCAGGGATGCTTCCAGGCTTGGCTGTGGCGCTGGGATCGTTGTGTTCACTCCCAGGGGAACTACTTCGAGGGTGATGGATGAATTTAATACCTGAGATAAGTGTACGGGTTTTTATAGGCGCAGTCTAGAAACTTTCCGATCGCACCTCGTACGTAAATAAAATTTAAAGAAACAAAAATGAAAGTCCCTGTGTCCTTTAAGGGATTATATTTCCCTGCGTTTACCTAGCCCTTCTAAAATGTTGTCACGAAGAACAGAGATGAAAGATGGTACAGCTCACAAACGGAGACGGCGAGGCGGGTTAACTCAACAGCCCTTCACAAACTATACACACGCCAAAACTTCAAGACTTGGTACAGCGTCTGCGCTGTACAACTCAAGCGAAATAAGAAATAGTAATATTTTAAAACCTGGAGGTCAAACGATGCTACACTTTGAACGCGAACCTGAAAGTGCAAATCTTCGCCCTCACTCGTGTTGCAATTTTGGCATAAATCCCGTTATCGGGTACTCAGATATTAAACTCACATCTCGCTTTATATGCAAATTACTATACGAATAATAATTTCCTGGTTGTTATGTTTTGTGCAGTACTCTCATTCAGTTTTTAGTCTCCAGGGCATAATCTGGCATTACAAAAATTCTCAAAGGCCAATTTCGATCGCAGATGGCCTTGCGTTTACAAAACCTTTGGAAAAAAAAATACATTTATCATTCATTCAATCTATAAGGAGCTTGGAAGGTTTCGTAATAAACAGATTTCATTAGCTGGTACAGCTTAAGACGAAAACTGAGAAACACCTGGTACAATTTCGTGTAGCCAACCTGACGTAAAATAAAAACATATGTGAACTAAATATTATAATAGCACAGACTTACGAAAAAGTGTTTTCAATTCTATTCTCAATCAACTTATCAGAAACAAAGATTAAATATTAAATTTTTTTTAAATCACTTAAAATATCAAATCAGTTCAAAGTCTTGTTTAAAATGCTGGCCACAAGTGTCAATGTATCTCTAGATAAATATTTATCTTATAACAAAAATGCATTTCCACAAGCTTAAGTCACAAATCAATTATTATACGTGTCCTATTTTGAACCAAGCTCAAATATTCTCCAAATCATGAAGGAACATATTATAGCAGCCGTCACCAAATTTCATGCTTCAAGGTCACGCAATGAATTCATCCCCCTTACCGTGCTCATTTACGTCAACAGCACAGAAATGCTATCTTTGCTGCACTGCGAGTTCTGAGCTGTCTTTATTCGCCTGGGCTCCACCGCTAGTATTGCAACGGTGCACAAATTTGCCGTGACCTTGAAACATGCAATTTGATGACGGATCCTTTCCGAACCTTGTCATCACGTCAGAGATTCATACCAGCGAGATTTTCCCCATTCTTACTAAACGAAGATGTGTATTTTCTGGATTGTAGCGCCGTGTAGTCTGGTAGGAGTTTACCGATGTTTCAGAGGTCCTTAACTACTTCCATCATCATAGCTACAACCCAGTACTCAACCTTAAAAAAGGCATTTACTATTTTCTCCCAAATCCTTCCTAACTCATAATTCACATAAATAAATCCACTTAGTCCTTAATATCGTTATTAATATATTTGATTCATTATCATTGACTATTTTATAACTTGCAGTGTTTTAAAGTATTACCAGCAAAGTTTACAGGAAATCAGAAACAAAAACGATGTTTTTCGGTCTGATAGTAGCGCTGCACGTGACTACCCAGGATCTTACTTAGTAACTCTCGCGTACTTAAAGTAGTTTCTTGAAGTGATACCGTTTGGGCGAAAATTTACTTAGTTGCTAGCGAGCTGATACGTGTGGGTAGATTTATTATTGTGCATTGCCTGTCTGCGACTCCACGAAAAGGTTTAAGGATGTTATTAAGGATCCTTGGTATGGAAGATAAATCTGTCATCAGTTCCGCGTAAGTGCCTGACGTGTTTGAATAACCACCTTTCTCGCCTAAAGCTCTTGAACTTGATCAATGTAACAGCCTCGCCTTTAAAGCTTACATTTCACCTGTTTAAAAGTAAACCACAATTATTATGAGATTTAGATACTGTTATTTACATATTTATCAATATTCCGCTTAACACACCTTCCTTCTTGCCTTATCGCATAATTGCATCTTCATGTTTTAAAGGACCAAAGAAATTTGTCCCGATCGATTTACGAAAGTCTAATGGCATAATATACACATATGGCATGATACCAAACCAATTAACAATGCATAAACCCATTGCCTAGAGCACTTATCGCCCTGATGATGGAGGCAACAAGGACCTCCGAAACGTTGGAAAACTTCTACTGGATTACACGTTGCTACGACCCAAAAGACAGCCAATTTTGGACTCATAGCTTTATAACCTAATTACAGCTGGATTAATCTTTCTTCATGCCATGACCAGTGGCGGACTCTTTTAAACACGGTAATGAACGGGTTCCATAAAAGGCGGGAATACCTTTAATATCTGCGCAAATATTAGGTTCTCATTCAGGACTGTGTTGCATGGAGTTACTTAATCGACCGATCAGGTAATTAATACTGACTGCGACCAGCTCAGCACGAACCAGATCACAGATTACGTTTCGATGAAATTAATTTGCACACGTCGCCAGTTTGGTACCAGATTAAACAGCGATTATTTCCCTAAACAGCATAAATCAGCTGATCTTTTGTAATGGTGAAGTGAAGTGTTTTCTTCGCGGTACGGACCGGATCCGTAAATATTACTTACTTACACGAGACTCGTAGTTCTTATACTAGTGCGAGTGTACTTACACAAGGCCTTTGTGAAGTTCTGCGATACGAGATTCGAGTTCCACTGTTTGGTTCGATATAAATCGAAACTCGGACACGTACCCTGGAGAATGTCGTCGGGGGTCATAGTCGCCAAGTTCCGCTGAAAACAAAAAAAAAAAAAAAAATACATTCGTTTTATAACCGAGACAACCGACTAACGAGCTCATTAGTTGTACACAAATAAAATTAGGACAATTAGGCTCAGGAATATTACCAGTAACCACGTGAAGAGATTTAGGTGGGATCACAGGGTTTAGATTCTCGAGAAGGGCAGATATTTTCGTGTCGATGTTGATCTTCTGGGTTGTAGCGACGTGTGGAATATCAAGTGGGTACCAGAGTTTCGGATAAACATACTGCCTCCATCTTCAGTCCTTAAGAAGGTTGCAGAATATTTCTCGGAAAGTCTGGAACCTATCCTCCGGCGTTAGAATACCAGAAGACCAACACAGATAATCTTCGTGGCTTTACTCAGTTCCTCCAAGAAACAGCAGAGCATGTTTAATTAATCCTCAGCCGCTTAACTCCATAAACCGTCGAATTAATTAATGATCGTGTTGTTAGATGCTGCATAAGCTAACGAGATTAAACTGTCATTTTTAAAAAAAACAATCATTTTTGACGTGCGTTATATCGAATTAACTTGTCCAATTGAACTTTTGAACAAACGCAAAATGTACAATTAACGGTATAACAGAAACTACACTGAATGGCTGTATAAGAAATAATTATAAATAATTCATATCTAACACTAGGTCAGCTGTTAAACCATGACTACGTAAGATCACACGTAAAACTTCATCTGTACACGCAACCACATTACATAATTTTGCCCGTCCGGGCTTGTGGTACATTACGTCATCAGATTTATTCCTTTCATTTCATTTTGTAACACAGAGAAACAAATTAGACCGACAGTTAGTCTTTCTAGTGGCATTAATTACCGTACGACCTTGCAAAGCCAAGACCATAATTAAAATACACCGACCCTCCTGCGCTTTCGGAATGGCGTGTGCATCAAATTTTGCCAAAGACTTGCCAAAACGGCTACGGAAACCTATGAAATGCTAAAGCAAGCATTTGGGGAGTCCGCAATGGGTCGTGCACAAACTTTTGTGTGGCATTCACGTTTTAAAAATGGCCGAACCTCTGTCGATGATGACGAGCGTTCTGGACGACCATCTTCGAGCACAACGCCCGAAACTGTTACGAAGATCGACGTCGTACCATCAACGACTTGTGCGACATTTTTGGGATAGGCTATGGGACCTGTCAGCTGATTCTAAAGGAAGAACTCCACATGCGACGCAAGGCTCCTGTCTGAGGACCAGAAGCAGAATCGACTTCTCGTTTGTCAGGAGCTCCAAGATCTTGCAAGAACCGACCCCAACTTCCTTTGTAAGCTCCGTGTGACTTCTTCCTCTTTCCAAAGATGAAAATTCAGCTAAAGGGAAGGAGATTTGAGACGATAGAAGAGATTCAGGCAGAATCGCAGATGGTGCTTGACAGGCTGACAAAGAAAGATTTCCAGGGATGCTTCCAGGCTTGGCAGCGGCGCTGGGATCGTTGTTTTCACTCCCAGGGGAACTACTTCGAGGGTGATGGATGAATTTAATACTTGAGATAAGTTTACGGGTTTTTATAGGCGCAGTCTTGAAACTTTCCGATCGCACCTCGTATACTATAATATCCCACAAAATATTAATATATATAAATATACACATTAAAGACACAAACCTTAAGCCAAATCTAAAAAAATCCCATAGGTTATGTTGTCATGGTGTCTAGGATTGGGACACTGTAGAAGCTTATTGCCTCCATCATCAGGGCGATTCGCCTTGATGATATGATGATGGAGACAGCAAGTACCTCTGAAACACCGTTTCGAGAACCATCTTCGACCTCGTCCTCTGAGTACTGAATTTGTAGGAGATCCTGTCCGAGATCTACAATTTACGTACCCTGAGGATGAAGATGGTTCTCGAAACGCTGGTGTTTTATCTCCATTAAACCAACTGACACGGCTGGTAGCCCTAGAATTCATTATACTTAGCCACCGTGAAAGCTTCAGATCATATACCTCTGAACGTCGGTGACCTACCAGACTACACGAAGCAACAACCTTTAAGACAGCCATTTTAAATCTATATTTACCTGAACAGGCCCATCTAAGTTATTACAAGTCACCGAACTTTATTCGTGTGGTATTTAATTATTAATTTATTAACATAAACTGAATTAAGAATTACAAATCAAATTACATAATCGACGTAAATATTCCCTGGACAATTAAGTACAAAACTAATTGGAATTGGCTCACTTCGTTCGTAGGAAAATTCAGCCCACGGTGCCTGAATTCAATTCTAAAAGATTTATTCAAACAAGAAGGTGTGGTCTCTGTACAGCATTTGCTAATGTATTATTTCGATTATTTTATCTTTACAAGCAATATACATACACAAAAAAACAAGTTACAGTCGCTTTATTTAGTAAATTTTGTCACCAAATTTTTTAACAACACTGTTTCAATTTAAAAAATAATGTAGTTCAAAATGACAATGATGATAATGCAAAGGGAAATTTAAGATGTCATTTAACAGCAATTGAAAACACATAACATTTGTTTACATATTCAGCGTGTCGACATTTTACAGAAATAATATATGCATTACCTTCTGTTCCCAGTATAGACGTTAATACGCTAATCCATTATGTATTTGTAGTACTAATATCATAATTAACCATGCAAGGTCAAAAGACTATTTAACAACATTCAATTCACTGTAATAAACTCACTGATGTCTGCAAAAAAACACTTGATTCCGAGACGCGAAGTAAACAAAGCAACATGGCAGGTCAGTAGGTTGGGAGAGGGCTGTTACCGGAACCAAACTTACATACAGTACTTTCATTGTTTTAAACATATTTCAGCAAGTAATCTATATTTGAATATGTCCTTTTGTTGAGACACGGGACTATATAAAGTTTCTGGCGTCACCGTTAAGTCGTAAGCTTATTAATATATATTTTTTGGTGGTGCTGCTGTATTTCTGTATTTTGAAGTATCGGGGGGTACGGCTGCACGTTGGAATGGCGAAGGCTCCCGCTGACAAACGCCGGTCTAACGTATCGACCGTTTCGCGTACATTGCTTTGAATTATTCCCACCAACACGTGTTGTCTGATGCGGCGTTTTAACACATTGTTCTATTGTGATTCTCTGTGTATGAAGTCATGTTTACAGAGCAGTAATAAGGTTATGTATTATACACAACAGTAAAATAAATTCCACTACTAGTTTAATGTTTTCAGAACATCACGTACATTCACCATAACGTGAATCACAGGAGGAAGGGTGGTGATAGTTTTCACCTCGCAAATATCGCGGAAATACGTATAGATGCAGTGTATTTTCTTGATGGCAGGAACATAATTAAAACCAAGTTTTCCTTCCAAAATATTATTTCACCGTATTTTTATAACAAAATCAAAATCCACTTATTTATGTCAGAAGCTTGTTCTACTTCTAACTAATCTCGTATCTTCACTGTCATTCTATCCTTAACAGAAAAGGACGAGTGGGCAAGACCTGGGAACCTAACAAAATGACGTTTCATTTCTCTGAACTAATTTTCTCTTTACTTCTACTCTCCTACTATCATCTCTGCCTACACTTCATACTGTGTAAGGTTATGGTAATACGAGGTGCGATCAGAAAGTTTCCAGACTGCGCCTATAAAAACCCGTACACTTATCTCAGGTATTATCCCATAGTCTATCCCAACAATGTCGCACAAGTCGTTGATGGTACGACGTCGATCTTCGTAACTTTTTCGGGCGTTGTGCTCGAAGATGGTCGTCCAGAACGCTCGTCATCATCGACAGAGGTTCGGCCGGCCCTTTTTAAAACGTGAATGCCACACAAAAGTTTGCGGACTCCCCAAATGTTTGCTTTAGCATTTCATAGGTTTCCTTAGCCGTTTTGGCGAGTCTTTGGCAAAATTTGATGCACACGCGCCATTCCGAAATCGCAGGAGGGTCGGTGTAATGCACTACCAAAACGCCCGTAACTAAGAAACAAATGCTAATTCGATGATGCCGGCTGGCACACTGATTCACTATGAATGTAGGCCGCACTCCCTAGCGGCAGAAGCTCGTACTACATCCGGTTCGCCCTCTATTGACACAGTCTTGAAACTTTCTGATCGCACCTCGTATTCTGCTTGTCTCGTGAAAAGCCACGAAATTACAAGCCCTCGGATACAAAGCAGTGAGCTGTCCATTGTACCATGTCGGTCCATTATTTGTGGTTAAACTCAACTTCGGGCTGCGTGTATCATAGAATGTTCTTGTCCGTGTTTTCCCCGCCCCCGTCGTCTTTAAATCAGTTCTTAAGTTCCAATTACGATACAAAGCTTATGTACTACACCGCGCATAATTCAGAAATACGTACAGTAACATCTGCTTATAATGGAACACAAGACCCCAAAATTTCTCTCAATTTCTTTTTAAATCTTTTGGTTCTGAACCACAGAACGTGGTCAGAGGGGGTCACCTTTTTACACAATCCGAAAGAAATTACCGTACAACAGGCACGATATACAGACACATCAGTTTGTAACCAAAATCAACAGCCTGGAATTTATATTACACAAACTACACTAATACACATACCGCAAGATATCTCCGAGCATGTTGAACGTTACAAATACCTGAAGTTGTTGGCCGGCCAGCCGTGGCAAGCGATAGGGCATGAGGCTTCTAGCTCCCCTGATTACCTCATCAATCTTACTGGCTCGCAGATATTTTGCGTCAACGTATACTGTGCAGTGGCGTGAAGGTATCGCTGACTGCAAAACATTTGTGATCAGAGTGGACACTGGGTAAGAAACATTTTCGGTCCGGAGGCGGCCACTAAGAGAAATATCTCTTGCGCTGTTGGGAATCGAACCCCGGAGTCTAATCACTATGCCGAGTGACCGGGATGTTTCTTCTCCGACAAAATCATACAAAGGAACAAAATTATATCAAGAAAAACTAACAAATAGTCTAAGACAGCGTTTCTCAACCTATGGCACGCGTACCACTGGTGGTACGCGAA